TTGTCAGAGAAGAAGGTGGGAAGTTCCAAAGCCACATGATGATGGTGGGCACAGGAAGTGTGTGATCAGGATCCCACAAGTTATATGGGACCTTATGTCTGCATCTGACCTATACAGGTGTGCTGTGGCGTGTGTGCTCCTTCCTACCTATCTCTTTCCCCACAAAACACAAAACAAGCAAACAAAAGAAGGGTGAGGGAGGGCACAGTGGCACATTCCTATAATCCTATATCTGGGAGACAGAGGCAAGAGGATCAGGAATTCGGAGCCAGCACACTGGGAATATGAGGCCACCCTGGGCTACATGAACCCCTGTATCGGGGAAAAGAAAACTTAAGAACGTTTACATACTGTCAGATCTGCCAATCTGGGCACTGGAAGTAGGGGACTGGCCTTCATGATTTCCTCCATTTATTTATAAGAGTTCTGATCCCTTTTGAGTGGCTTGGTGATAAATGTCAAAGAAATCCCCCTTGCTTGCCTTTCCCCTTCAGACCCAGCCAGCCATGACAGGTTGGACCCTGGGAATATGCTAATCAGCCAGCGGGTAGGTCTCAGATGGGGAGATCACATGTGGAGTCTGGAGTGGTGTAGCTGGAAATAGACTACGATAAACATAGAGGAGTCCCCCGGGAGCAGGGAGCCAATGCAGACTAATGGGGGATGCTTCAGGCCGAGCTGTTACCCTGGCCTGACTGGGCTGTGGGTAGGCTGTACAGAAATTCCACAAGTAATGACCCTGTGGGTCTGGAAAGAAAGGGATGACTCCTAAGTCTGGAAGAGAGATGGACCAAGCTGGGAAGGTGTTTCAATAAATCTGAAGTCACACACTGTTGCCACTCTACCTATGAGCACGTCCAGTTACTCATCCACCTGTAGCCAACCAAGCTCGGCTAACTCTGGATGGGGGTCCCTGAACCTGTCAGACCACAGACAAGTTGTGTGAAGGTAGGCATAACACTCATCCTTTTTGGTCTTGGTTTCCTTCTCAAGACAGGATTGAATTCTTTCGGCTTCAAACCCTACAGATCTTTTATTCACTCCTTCACCCCCTTCCCGCTTGCCTGGCCCACAGCCCCTCCTGTTCAGGGCAAGCTGAATCCCTTAATTTCCTGGGCCACTCCCTGAACATTCCTGCCCCCATGTGCTTGCCATGAGGGTCCCTCCCCCAAATGCCTGCCTCACTTCTGCTGACCCAGAGCCTGCTAAAGTAACAAAGCCTTAAGAGGGCAATTGCCATGCCACTATATAAACTGACTAAAAGTACTCTCAACAATGTGCTTTTAAAGGTGGATCTAAAGACTATATACAGGCCTAGACTGGGGTTTAGGATACTATGCCATGAAAACAGAAAAAAATATACAAAACACACACTATGATTAACCCTTCTAAAAGGTGTGTAAACCCAAGGGAGGAAAAAGGCACAGAATTACACAATAAAGGGGCCGCTCCAAAGCTGTGGGTGAGGGTGAGAGGGCTAGTGATTGTTAAGTCTCTTTCTCATGACTGCATTTTTTTTTTTCCCTGAAGCAGGGTTTCTCTGTGTAGCTTTGAAGCCTCTCCTGGTAATCCCTCTGTAGACCATGCTGGCCTCGAACTCACAGAGATCCGCCTGCCTCTGTCTCCCAAGTGCTGGGAGTAAAGGCGTGTGCTACCACTGCCCAACTTGACTGTAATTTTTTTTTTTAGTGTAATTTTTAAATACAAACAAATCCTGCTTTTGGAATTAAAGATTTGGTACTCTCAGATCCCTCTGGCTCCATAACCTTCTTGAAGCCCTTCCTACCTGCATCCCATGGTGACTTTCCCCTCATTAGTTTCCACCCCATTCCTCACACAGAGCACCCTGGCAATGGGCTCTGGCATTGGTGGCAGAGGCTAGCTCTAAGTCAGGAGCTGGCTCTCCTGATTTCACACCTGAACCCTGGACAGGTTATTTACTCTCACTGTCTCACTGTCCTCATCTTTATAACCCTTCCTGCCCACATGGTACCATAGCTGAGGGCTTTTGCAGTGCTGGGCTCTCCCTCAGTACTCTGCTGGCACACTAGCCCTTCAATCTGACAGGGTACCTGCACTTCTGGGTGCTCACTGCAGGGGCACTGTAATCTCCCACCTCCAAATTTATAACCCTGACTGGCTCTTTTCTAGGCAGTCTTCCCCTTTCTAGGTGTACCAGGCAGAAATGTCCTGTGCCCAGAGGTGACACTGCTCCAACCAAAGGCAGTCTGAGGCTCCTCTTACACCAGACAGCAGAACCTCACTCCAGCTCCTTGACCAGGCCATTAGCCATGTCAAGACCATTCACCTGGGCTGCAAGACTTCTTGATAAAGACTAACATGCAGAAAAATAGCACCAAGGAGACAATGTGGCCTTCTCTACATACTGTCAGTGGTGGCACCTTGGCCTTAGTGTCCGCATGTGCCAAGTAGAACAAGGAGATCACCTTCCTTGCTGAGCTGTAGCAGAATCACATCAGACAGTACTTGGCTATGAGCTTCCAAGAGCAGAGTCCTGGACACACATGGTAATGGCGAGTGTTGCCATTTGTCTGCACCCAACCCGGCCTCCAGCTCCAGATGCTTTGCTACCACCACAGCCAAAAGAGAGCGATTCATCTAAGGGCAAGTGCTTAGTGCTCAGATGAGGGGTCCCTCACTGGCCCCTGGCGGGGCTCAGTGGAGAGGACCTAAGGAAAAAGGGGCACAGTAGTGGGCTTTCTGTCCACTTTCCCATTGAGCATTCCTTGGATCCTTGCTCCACCATAAAGTCACCTTGGCTCTGTCCCCAGGGCCCACTGAAAGGAAGCAACCTGGGCTCCAGAGCCTGGTGGGTGACCTTCCTTAGACACATGGCAGCAATGGGAACAGGTTGTTCTTCAGCTCTGTGGGGTCTGGCCATGTGGGACTGTCCAGTGTAGACTATCCATCCAGCCTGGCTATCCTGAATGGTTCTGAAGTAGAGACAGTGCAAGACTTCATGAACCACAACACCCCCTCCCCAGAGCATAGGAGACTGGTGAGGTGGCTTCATGGCTCAGAGCCCAGGCCTGTGCTTAGGGAGCAGAGTGCTAGAGAACTTCAAAGGCCTCTCTAGAGGCCTTGGGCTTTGAGCTGCCCACTCACTGGCCTGGTCAGCTGGCAGCAGGAAAGTTTGTGTTTCTTTTAATATCAACTCCCAGGCATTTAACATTCCTCGAAGCTTAAACACAGAAACATTTCCCTTAGCAGAATGTGCTTTCTGCTTTGCCAAACACAACCTGGCAGCCTCCCCTCCCCCACTATCTCCATCTGCTCCTGTCTCCAAGAGTCAATGATTTATGGTGTTTCCTCTGGACCCAAGTAGCACAGTGAGGGCAGAAGCAGTAGGGCTGCCATCCAGGTGGGAAGACTCCTGGCCCTGGTACTTGAATTGTAGAGAGGCTGTGGGCCACAATGCTCACTGAGCTGGCTGCCTGTCACCCTTTCATTTCACAGTCATCTATGGCCCAGGCAGGGTGGCAGCTTCTCACATCTCTTGGCTGTATCTTCTAAAGCTGTCCAGGCCAGCCTGGAATCCATTCCCTGCCTATTCCTTAGGCCTTGCCCAAGGGAGTAGAGATGGGATTCCTGCTACTTAAGAGGACATGTGACAGGGATTGGATTTAAAGAGCTTTCTGTCATCATCCTCATTTCTGAAACAATGAAGGGCTGGCACATGGTTGCCTAGCAGCCCTGTCTCCCTGGAGACAGTACCAAGGAACAGGGTACAGGTCCCTCAGCATCAGGAAATCCATGCTTAGGAACAAGAGGCAGATGGCTGGGCCTCTACTGGAGGGCACCACCCCTCTCCTCACAATCAAAATGCAAGGCCAATAGGGGATAGGGACACCCACACAGTTCATAAGGGCACCCAGTCAAAAGCCAGATATAAAACTTTAGCCTCAACATGCACCAAAGAACAATCATTTCCTAACAAAAGGCCTAGAGAGATGGCTCAGTGGTTAAGACCATTTAGAGGATCCAGGCTTGGTTCCCAACACCCACATGGCAGCTCACAACTGTCCTTAACTCCAGGGGATCCAACACACTCCTTCCTCTGTTTCTGTGGACACCAGGTACATACACAGTGAATATACCATACATGCAGACAAAATATGCATAAACATAAAAACAAATATTAAAAAACAAAAACAAAAACGTGAAGCTCCCTGCTCAAGACTAACCCAGTGTGCCTGTAGAGGTCAAGGGTTAAGAAACCTGGAGCACCCATACCTGTGGCCCAGCCTTGCCATTATCTCCCTTGATTTCATGGTCACAGAATCTATATACACTTATATATAAGCATGAGGCCACACAAACTGCCAGGCTCCATGCTAAATGTTATTTATCCCTAAGTAGATAGCAGCTGTCTTCAAAACTGGAACAATGTTCCAGAGATGAAAGTACACACAAGATCCTTTCCCTTGTTTCCAACATCAGGGCACCAAGAAACACAACTGAATATGTACCCTCACCCTGAGGATCTGACTCTACTGATATTCCAAGGCCCCACCCTGAGACAGTGACTCCCAACACAGGTGAGGACAGTGCAGCAATGTGGAGCCCAGCAGTCCAGCTGATTCGAAGCCCTTCTGGAAGAACAGTGAACAGTGGAGGATATGTGACTCCCTCCTGTCTCACGCCCATAGCAGCCACTGCTCACTACAAAAGCCACCTCTTTTCCTGCTTACGAGATCCTCAGATGCTTCCCAACACAGTGTCACACAAAAAGTCACCAACACACAGAGTGACTGTGAAAACAAAGGCAGCTACCTCCCTTATATCTATCTATCTACCTTGCAGAAACATGGTGCTCAACCTGGGCCAGGTAAGGCCGCTTGGGGATCCAGTATCTATGGGCAGCTGGGACACAGCAAGGAACCAACTTTAGGGAACTTGTCTCAGCTTTGAGCCAACGTCACAAAATGCCAGACGACATGTGAGAAGGACTCCTTAACTGTCTCACCCTGGCTCCTTACCTGGATCTGCCCCTTGCCCATGATCTTGTCCACAATCTCGTTGTTGTCCTTGTTGACCTTGGTCTTGTCATAGCATTTCTCATAGCACAGGATCCTCAGGGACTGTGAACCCTCCAGCTCAATCTCAAACTCCTGGTGATAGATGGAAGGAACAAAGGGCCTTGAGTCTCTGAAGGACTTGTGGTTTCCAGCTTCCCAGCAAATGTGGGCCTCAGCTCTGCAAGGCTGGGGTGAGCAGGACCCAGAAGGATCACATCACGAGACACAGGGGGGCACTGGCTCTTTCTGGAGTTCCTGGGGACCTCTGTGTGACTGGTGGAGCAGGGCTTAGTAACTTTCGCTGAAACCCCATGAATCACTGACCTAAATACTGGTCTGATGACTAGTGGGGAGCAAGTGGTAAGGGAGACACAGCTGGGCCAGCCAGTGATGCAGCCACCCCCAGAAGAGAGGCATGCTCAATGACAAACTGGGACACAGCCTCCTCTACTCACCTCATCCCACTTGGGCTCTGTCGTGTCCCGAAATACCCTGGTTTTGGCTTTGCTGACAAAATAGCCAAAGGAATCCACCTCCAGAGTACAGTACAGGTCTGCAGGGGAAGAACAGAAACACCAAGTGAGGCCCAAACAGCCTAGGAACAGGGCCAAGCACAAGCAATGGTAGAAGGAAGGGGTACAAGCTCTGAGGGGCAGGGCCTGAGCTCTGGTATCAAGAGTACATGGATCCTAGAGAGCAGCTCTACAGACCACACAAACTGGGAAAATCCTTGGAGTCTCAGCCTCCCATGTACAAAGCAGAAATTACATTAGTGACCACAGGGAGATGCCAGGAGACCAGGACAAGAAATGAACCTGCAAAGACCTTGCACATGCCAAGGCACTGGCTACTTTCTGGCCACGCTCTTGTTTTTCTCTGGGTATGCTGTAAATATTCATTGTCACTTAGCATTTTAGAGTCCCTAAACTTTAAGGGACAAAGGAGACCTGCTTCCCATCTTTGAAGTGCTCACAGCAGGACAGGCGAGTTATAAGTGACACAACAGCGTGGCAGGTGCCAAGACTATACTTCACCCTGAGCATGATGGGACACAAGCAGAGGCCTGTTCACCCCAGAAGCATGGGGAGATTCCCGGCAATGCTGACTGAATGAATGGCTGTTTAAGGGCCAATAGCATAAGCTTGTTATAAGGACGAAAGAGCCCTGAATTTTGGAGCCTGTGTACTGTGGTAAGTCATTTCTCATCCCTGTGACTCAGTTTCCTCATGTGGCAAGCAGTCAGGAACTATAAACTGACTGGACAAGAAGCAGAATAAGAAGTTTAATTGAAGATAGGTGTGGTAGTGCACACTCTTAATCCCAACACTCAGGAGGCAGAGGCAAGTGGATCTCTCTGAGTTCTAGGCCAGCCTGGACTACATAGAGTACCAGGCCAGCCAGAGCTACATAGTGAGACCTTGTCTTTTAAAAAAAAATGTTTAATTGGGATAGAGTATTGCTCAGTAGTAAAGCATTTGCCTGGTATGCAAGAAACGAAGATCCAAACCCAGTACCCCAAACACTGCATACACATAGTAATAGTTAAGTCCACTTTTAGGTCAATAAAACCAAATGTGATTGTCTTAATTATTTTTCTTTTTTGAGGCATGGTAGTACATCCTTTAATTCCAGTACTCAGGAGGCAGAGGTAGGTAGATCTCTGTGAGTATGAAGCCAGCCTCATCTACATAGCAAGTTCTAGGTCAACCAGGACTACATATAGTCTCAAGCAAAATTTAGAAGAAAAATCTGTTTTAGATTTATGTATGTGAGTGCTTTGCCTGCACATATGTCTATGTACCACACATGTACCTAGTACTTGTGGAGGCTAGAAGAGGGTGTCGGATCCCATGGAACTGGAGTTACAGATGGCTGTGACCTATCATGTGGGTGCTGGGAACTGAACCCAGGTCTTCTACAGGAGCAACAAGTGCTCTTAACCATTGAGTCATCTCTCCAGGCCTGTGACAGCCTTTTATTGAAAAGTAAACTGAGGCTCAGAAAGGTTAGAAAATATGCCCAGGGTCACAAAGTTTATAATCACAAGACCTGGGTTTGAGTTCAGGTGTCTGGAGCTCTAGAGGAAAAGCTTGAAGGAGAGCAGATCTTGGAGACAAAGGGCAAAGGCAACTTTCCTGACAAGAGGAATTGGCTCCTAGACTTTGAGGAAAGTCCAACAACACCAGGCATATTGGCAGGGCCCCAGCTTGGGGACATTATAGATGAGCAGTTGAGGGGAGGGAGCCTTGCATAGTGGGACCATAGGGACTAGCTATGAAAGAGGGGCAGTGGCCACTCAGCTTCTTCCTAGGGCCAAGGGGGCACTTACTGGCTGATTGTTTAAACCCCTTGGCAGAGTGGACGATGACATGAAGGAAACCATACAGTCCTGGAGACTCGTCGTCTGCAAGAGAGCAAAGACTGGAGGATAAAGACATATCAGTTTTTCCACCCGGGACTAATGGGAAGGCAGACAGGGGGCCTTGGTACACAGCACCACCTGGTGGCCAGCTGGGAAACAAGTCCAAAGCCCACGTTTTTCCACAGTGTAAACTGCCCTAGGAAGGAAGGGGTCCTTTCTCCCCTCTGTTGAGACTGGGAACTAGAACAAATGTCTTAGGCCAGGTGTTTAGTACCTTCCCTCCCTATGAACATAGCTCATCCCAAGGCTGCCCTCCTTTGCCTAATCTTTCAAAATGGAAATGAACTGATTTGAGTCACTTTGTTCTAATGGAAAAGACTCAGAGAAAGGCTTGGTCCTTGTTTGGAACACAAAGGTCCCCAGGTGAGCCTGAAATCCCAGAATTGGGGAGGCAGAAACCCTCCCAGCATCAGGGAGCACACTCTGGGCCAGTTTCTAGCCTCATCAATAACTGTCCCTGCTTAGAGGCCTCCTGTGGACTCCTGGAATTACAGCACCACCCCAAACTCCCTTGCTTGGCATTCACGCCCTTCCCAATCTACCTCCTAAAACACCTGGCCTGATTTCTCATATTCTTCTCCACTCTGCGCACTGTCTGTCTCATCCTTCCCCCTAGATCCCTGCCTCATTCTGCAGCCTTATGCTCTGGTTTGAAGACTTCTTCAAGAACTCAACCACCCCAACACTCCAGGGCATAGATTTTTCTCTCAAACTAGATGGGGCCAAGGAACACTTGAGCCCTTGAATGAGTACCTCCCATTTACAATCCCTGTGCCCTGGCAAGGGAGCAGTTCCAGCCACACTGGGCAGAGGGATCAGCCATTAGCACCCACACCTATCCTTCCTGGTCCTTGTAGAAGACCTCTAGCCTGGACCTGCTGGCTGGGCAGACAGGAGTTGCAAGTCTTACCATCTTTATTGCTGGTGACAGGAATGTTATGCACAGTCCTAAGCTTGAAACAGGATCCCGTGAGCACCTGGAGCTCCACAGAGCTCAGGACAAAGGCCTGGAGATCTGTGGGAGGAGCCAAGAGAGGACAGAGCTTCACTACAGGTCCACGAGGGCCTGCTGCTCTCCCTTGAAGATGCTTCAGGAAATCAGCTAGTGTTGGAGGAGGGAAAGTCCTGCAGGTATTCACATGAGCACAGTTGTGGGTGCTGTCAGAGGTGTCAGTAACTAAAGGGGCTCATGTGTGTGAGTGGGAAGCAGGAGGAGGGAAGACATCCAACCCAGAGCCCTAGGTGGCCTGTTATAAATTCGCTGTGTGTCTTAATTAGACCTCAATTGATGGTAACATCCCAAGGATAACACCTCTCCAGCATCTTAAGAGGTGACTATGAGGGCTGAAGAGAGACACTGGGCATTAACAAACTGGGGAGGACACAAGGCCCTTTGCTGCCAAGGATGCCTTCAGAACAGCATGGGACTGGGTGGGACTTTACCCTTCTTCTGTAGCTTCTGGATCGCTTCTCTCCACTCTGACCTCTCATAGTCAGAGGACAGAAGAAACAGGTAACTCTGGAGGGAGAGAGAAGAGTTTAGCGCAGTGACCACAGCTGGACAAGGTGCACCCCCAACTTCCCTCTGAGGCTGACGGAGGAGGCAGAAAGGGTGGGTTTGTCCTTTTAGGAAGCCTGGTAACAAGAGTGGCAGTGCCAGTGCCAATTGTGGCCAGCAGAGGGCAGTAGCTTCCTGCTAGCAAAGAGAGCATGTCTAGGGCTAGCGCTCTGGCAGCTTTCTTGGGAAATGGGGGTCCCAGCCTGGGTCCCTGATAGCCATGTGTCAGTGCAGGAAGCCACTGAGAGTGGGCAGCCCTGAATTAAGGGAACAGGCGACCCTCCACCCTGCTCCTCCTGACCTTTCCATTCCGATTGTGTATCCGGAACGGGATTGTGGGGGAATTGAGCAGCAGCAAGAACTCATTCTCAAACATCTTCTTTTTGAGGCGCTCAATGGCTCGGCTCTGTCCCTTGTTGGCTTTCTGCAGGAGACGAGACAACAAGACATGGGTGTTTTCCCTTGTACGTCTCACTCATCTGCGCTAAGCACAACTTTCTCCTGTGTGCTAATCAGTTCTTATTTGCTATATTGCATGAGGTTTTGATCTAGGGCCTAGGTATGCACCTCCCAAGAACCAGCTAATTTCCCAAATCCTGTGCATTTTCCATTCATATGCAACTAACACAAGGCCCCAGTCCTGAGCCCCTTTATAGAACATCCACAGTCAGGCTAGACAACTAGACCACCCCAAAGTTAGAGCCCCCCAAAGTAAGGCCTCTTCTCACAGACTCTGTAAGTGACCTCCCACACTCTACCCTCTATTAGAAAGCCCTCAGACACCTTTCAGCATCTAGTCCCAGCTGCTGGTCTGACTGCAGGGCCTCTGACTCTGGCAGTGATCCCATCTGCTGCCAAAGCTTGCCCTGCTCGCTAAAAAGTTCTCCCACGCTGCCCTCGTAGCTTTCTCCAATTTTCCAACTTTCTATTTTATCAAGGAAGCTTCCTCCTGTGCTTTAAATCTCAGTGTCACTGAAATCCCCAAGCTCTTTAATTTGGATGAACCGCATCTTTTTTCCTTCATGGGTGTGTGCGATGTACATGTGTGTGCATACATGCTTGTGTAGGCCTAAAGTCTTGATAGCCAGCCTGGTCTGGGTGATTCCAAGTGCTGCAATTACAGAAGGGTCCCCTGCTCAGTCAGGACTTACATGGGCTCTATTTATCTAAATTCTGGTTTTCTTGCTTGCAAGACTTTAATCACTGAGCCATCTCCCCAGCCCTTAACATAATAGTCTGGCAAAACTCTAACAAATCTCACAGCCAGCCCTGTGACAGTGGCTCTCACATCCTGTAGGAAGAAGATAGTCAACTTTCTCAAAGGTGACTCTGCCAAGTGAATGCACACAACTGCCCAACCATGTCACCTGTAGAGACTCCAGACACAGGGCAGTAATGTGCACTGTATACCTGCCTCCTACAGGGAGGGAATCAGGAACAATCCAAATGTACAAATAACACGTTTGGAAGTTGAGACAGAATATATTATAACTACTAAAGGGAATCTGATGGTCTAGAGTTCAGGAATAGTTCTGTGACAAGTTTAAAAAGTATCAGAACAGGGGGCTGGAGAGATGGCTCAGAGGTTAAGGGTACTGGCTGCTCTTCCAGAGAACCTAGGTTCAATTCCCAGCACCCACATGGCAGCTCACACTGCCTGTAACTCCAAGATCTGACACCTTCACATAAACATACATGCAAGCAAAACACCAATGCACATAAAAATAAATTTAAAAAAAACTAGCAGGGGCTGGAGAGATGGCTCAGAGGTTAAGAGCACCGACTGCTCTTCTAGAGGTCCTGAGTTCAATTCCCAGCAACCACATGGTGGCTCTCAACCACCCCTTATGAGATCTGGTGCCCTCTTCTGGTGTGCAGATATACATGGAAGCAGAATGTTGTATAAGTAATAAATAAATAAATCTTTAAAATAAAAAAAAACTAGCAGAACAGGACACATGGTCTTATGACGCATGCCCCCACTCACACAACCACATATACTTTAATGTAAGGTGAGTGATAATCACTTTTACTCTACTAGTACCGTAAGCATTTATTATATTGACAACTAGAAAAATGAGTTTTGAAAATTATTATTAGTGGGGGCTGGAGAGATGGCTCAGAAGTTAAGAACACTGGCTGCTCTTCCAGAAGTCCTGAGTTCAATTCCCAGCAATCACATGATGGCTGAAACCATCTATAATGAGATCTGGTGCCCTCTTCTGGCCTGCAGGGATACATACAGGCAGAACACTGTATACATAATAAATCTTTAAAAAATTATTATCATCATTATTATATTTATTTTTGATTTTTTTGAGGCAGGATTTCTCTGTGTAACCCTGGCTGCCCTGGAACTCACTCTGTAGACCAGACTGGCCTCAAACTCAGAGATCCACCTGCCTCCCCATTGCTGGGATTAAAGTCATGTACCACCACCATCTGGCTAAAAATTATTAGTTTGGTCAGCAAGATGGCTCAGTGGGTAAACTTGAAGGAGTCAATTTTTTCCCTTCCATCATGTGCATCCTGGGGACTGTCCTCAGGAGTTTAGATTTGGGCAAGTGCTCTTACCTATTGAGACACCTCACCTGCCCAAGCCACTGCTTTTGAATACACAAATATCAGGCTAGGCATTTTCCTCTAAACAGGGCTTTGGCCTCATTCCATAGGTTTTGGTCTGCAGTAGTTTCATTTTTTATGTACTTCTAAATCGTTTTCAGTTTCTATTTTGATTTCCCCTCTTTAAAAGTCCTCACCTTCTAGTTATTTTGTACAATTCTTCTACAGTATGGTCTGTGACTACGATCCACAGACTATTAGGTTTTTGTTTTTGTTTTGGGTGGCGCATGCCTTTAATCCCAGCACTCAGGAAGCAGAGGCAGGGGGATCTCTGTGAGTCTGAGACCAGCTTGGTCTACAGCCTGTGTAGCAGTTAGGGATGTTACACAGAAACTGTCTGAAAAAAACAAACAAAGAACATTTATTTATTTTTATTTTATGTGCATTGGTTTTTGCCTGCATGAATGCCTGCGGAGGTGCCAGATCCCCTGGAACTGGAGCTACAGACAGTGGTGAGCTGCAATGTGGGTGCTATGTATTGAATCCAGGTCCTCTGCTTTTAACTGCTGAGCTATCCCTGCAGCCCAAGAATCTCAGTTCTCTTTCTTAGCATATGCTTCAGGGACTAACTGATGAGGTTGGCCAACTGTGGTACTCGGGTCCCTTCATCCTATTTATTTGCCTTTTGCTTTTTCTCAAGAAAGCCTCTCATCCCTCCTTTCTCCCTTTCTAAATTGTTCAACAAATGCGGTTCCTGAGGAACCATTCCGCAATTAAATCCACTAGGTTCTAAGCACTGGTCCTTGGCCCTCCCTCAGCACTGACACAGGCAGGAGCTCCCATTCTTGCATCTTGCTTCCCCTATAACACCCTCAAGCTTTCAGCCCCCCCCCACCCCAGAACACCCAGGCCAAAAACAGCCCCAGGCCATGAACTTACCTCCTTTTGAATCTCACTCTTAAGGGCAGAGATCTTCATTTTCATGTCCTCTAGCTCATGATCTGGGAAGGGGTGCACCTGGGGACTGGCCTCTGACTCCTCAGGGGATGGGAACACTAAATCAGCCAGAGGGATGTACCACTTACAGTCATACTGTTGATGCTTTCTGTAAGCAAGCAGGGAGACATGAGCTGAGCAGAGCAGCCTTTTCAATGCAAACTGCTCATCCAGAGCAAAAAACTAACCACAAAGGGATCTGCTGAGACTCCTGGGACTTTAAGCACACACATGTGGAGCACTGAGAATCAGGGTCAGCCAGCAGCCGAGGCCTGTTCTTCACCTTGATAGACTGGTGCTTCTAAATATCCAAACCATTGTGTATCGATAAGAATGAAGCCTTGCTGGCTGGGCTCATGTTTTCCTATCGAGTGCCTCACTCCCTGCTGGCTCCTCTAGTCTATCCATCCTGAAGCTCACATTCATTGTCCTTTACAGTGGGATGGGCTACAGATGTGGTTCTGAATGCCAGTTCTGATCCATAGAAATCATACAGAGCTCTGGGCTGAGGGTACAAAACTAGATCGGAGCTGGGTATGGTGGCACAAGACTTTAATCCCAGCAGAGGCAGGTGGATCTCTATAACTTCAAGGCCAGCCTGGTCTACATAGACAGTTCCAGGCCAGGCAAGGCTACATAGTAAGACCTCATCCCAACCAGTCCGTCCCTCCATCCGTCCGTCCCTCCATCCATCCATCTACCCACTGATCAAGTAAGCAAGCTAGCTAGCCACATCCACACCTAGTGGGGAAAGGTGCTATGACTGATTATTAATATCTGCTGTGGGAGAAGGACTGAAGGTGGAAGTCTAAAGCTCCATGTCTTGTTAGTCAGGCTGCAGAACCTATCCCTCATTACTTCCCTTCCCAGCAGACACTGGGGGCTCATGTGGAGCATAAACCCAGTACACTGCTTACTGTTGGCATCTCTGTGGGTCTAGTTCCTGAGAGTCATGTCCTCAACCGAAGCCCATAATGACCTCCTCCCTGCTTTGACTTCCTCTGAGAATTAGATTTGTTCCCAATTCTGGTCCCTTATGCTTCAATAAGCACACAGATCTTCCTCTCTAGTGTGAAGCAACATACTTAGCACACAGTAGGCTATAAATGTAGATGGAAGAATATGTCAATAAATATGGAGCAACTTTTTCTGGTCATGCAGTGTGTGTCCACACTACTGAAAAGAAGTTGAAGAGAAAGGGGTTTCCAAGTTAGATTAGGGTTCAGGTTCCATCTCCCCCATTTCTAGTTGTGTGACCTTACATGCCTTCTCTATGACCTCTGATTGTCAGACAGGGAAAACAGTAACCACTTTGTGAAGATAGGAAGATTAGAAATAATGTAACTGAAGCATTTGTCACAGCACCTGGAATGGCAGAAGCCCTCAACAAATGGCAGCAGATGCAATAAATATTCACAGAGTTGTAATTAACAAAAACTTTGTTGAGCCAGGAGTGGTGGCGCATGCTTTTAATCCCAGCACTCAGGAGGCAGGGGCAGGTGGATGGATCTTTGTGAGCTTGAGGCCAGCCTGGTCTACAAATCAAGTTCCAGGACAGCCAGAGCTGTTACACAGAGAAACCCTGTCTCGAAAAACAAAACTTTGTCTTCAGTAAATTATGACTTTAATATTAAAGTCAATTTATTACGCAGAATAATTAATACTCTGCCACTTAATATTACACAGAAAAGGACAGTGGTGATTGTGACATTCAGCAGCAGTAAGAAAAATGCGTATGACAGGAATAGAAAAGGCAGAGCTCAAGCTAGATGAAGTAGTTCACGCCTTCAAGTACTGGGGAGGCAGAGGCAGCAGATCTCTATGAGTTCAAGGTCTGCATAGTGAGTTCCAAGACAGCCAGAGCTACACAGTGAGACACTGTCTTGAAAATACCAAAAAATAAAAAAGCAGAGCCCCAAATTAGGCATTCTCCATTAGCACAACTATGAGAAAAAACACAGCAATTAAAAAATTAAAGAAATATAGTCACAAAAGACTTAACACTTGTATTCAAGCAGGTTATTTTTTCCTGTAATATATTACCTTTATAATTAAAACAACAGGATTTCTTTTTAGAAGAGGCTATACAGTACAACTGAACTGAATGTATGTGTGTATGTTCTCACACTGTAACCCTGGAAGTCTTAAACTTGCCGCAGTCTTTCTGTGTTAGACTCCCTACAGACATGAGCCACCACTCCTGGCTAACAAGCCTTACAGAAAGCCCAGGCTGCTGAGGATTCCATGTTGGGCATTCTGGTTGTCCTTGACTGTGACCCAACTCCCCATATTCTTACCCTGCAGAGGTTTTCTTCAGCTTGGCACACAGTAGGACATCTGTGAAGAGAAAGACGTGCCGCAGCTTCCGGGAGCTCTCAGACATTTCTACCAGGAAGCCGTCCTTCACCAGCTGCCGAGTCTGAGGGAGACAGGACACCCCCACCTGCTCAGAGGGGAGAGCAGCAAGGGCCCAACCTGCATTGTACTGGTTTTGGAGTGTTGTTTGGTCAGAATCCTGACCCTTCCCTTCTCAGCTGTGATCCCCTCTAACTTCAGATTGCTTGTCTGTATAGCTAAGAGGGTGGTATCTGCCTTGTGAAGCAGCATTCACTGTGGAATAGCACAGTGCAGGGACACACAGCATGCAATTAATGTAACTCAGTACCCAGCCGCACCCTCTCCCCCAGCTCTCAGCATCTTCCCCTGGATAAAAACTCTTGGGGATGACTTGGTTTCTCCATTTCTTGGCCATGAACACTGCCAACCTCACAGCCCCTCCCAACGGAGTTTGATCTAGTTTCAGCTCATCTTGCCCAGCCAACACACTCAGGCTCGTCCATGCTATTTCTCAGTGGATTCTTCAACTACGGATGAAAGACTCTGGGATTCCCCAAGGGGGGAGGGGGAGACTTTGGTGATCAGGACAGTCAGAAGCATTTCACGGCACATGAGACAAGTAGTTTCCTCCCTGCCACCCTCAGAGCTGGCGGGCTTCTCCCGAGCTGTCATCAGCTATCCCAGCCTTCTGTGTGCACTATATATTGTGTGACCTACATACACTACTGTCTGTGGGTGAGCATGTTGAAAGGATATGATTAAGACAACCTGAAACTGGGAGTGCTCTGTGCCTTCTAGAGATTTTTTTCAGATATCCCCAGAGTAGTGCCATTTTCTGGGGTGTTGCAAACCAGGGCTGGGAACTGTGTACAGACAGCTCCATGCCCCATTAGTCATGCTCCAGACCCTGTCCCTCATTACTTCCCTTCCCAGCAGACATGGGAGGCTCATAAATGTAACAAAGGAGCATAAACCCAGTCAGCCTTCCCTCCTAAATGCTCCTTAATTATCTTGATTAGATGGAAGGCACTCAATCTGGGCCAGACTGTTGACCCCTGAGGGTCACAATCTCCCCAGTTCTTCACACTGCTTCCCCAGTCTTCCATCAGGAAGCTTCCCACATCACCCCAGGTGGGCCAAAATGCAACATCTAGGTGTTTCCAAGGACACTGCAGCAGCCTGGTTTCCTAAACTATCTCTAGTACTGACATTTTCTGTTGTTGGGCCTGTTGCCTAGCTCTGGTTTACCTATTGTGTAGACTAAGCTTCTCCCAGGGGCTCCCTGAGAACATCATCCCAATAGGAGCAAGGAGGTGTGTCAAGAGTGAGGTACTCAGAGGCCCAGCTTCTGGTGAGGGCAATGTTTATATTCCAGTAAACATTTGATTCTGATACTTTTGTGTGAGGATACCTGTGCCAGACTCAGAAATTGTCTAGGCTCAGTTCCCTTTTCTGTCTTACCAGGTTATTATAGGGACCAATGAGAGAACCGTCTTAAAGTCCTTATCTAGGACCTGACGTGTTATAAGTATGGTCAAGGGCTGCAGGCTTCCCTTTAGCTGTGGGTACACAGGGCACTCAGCCATGGTGCCCCGACACCAAGAACATCAGGGACAAGGGACCTGGCCAACTGTCTACTCAGTCTAGGTGTGAAGCTGTGCAGGGCTCAGAACTCACCTCCCCCTTGGGGGTTGTAACTGCAGTCCGGCGGGGATCAATGTCCTCATTAATGCTAGACAGGAAATTCTGGGAGATTCGGAGGGCATCCTGAAGCAGTGGGTAGTCTGGGTGGTCCACAGGTGTGTGCTTCAACAGATCCTGGGAAAGGATGGGGTGGGATGGTGAGTTGAGGGGAGTGGTTCAAGTTCAACCAGAAGACAGTGGGGAGCATTCAATCCTCCAAAGCATTCTGAGGGGATACTCTAGGATCCACACTCTAATCCAGCTATGTCTGCGGAATTGGAACTGAAAAACCAGGGTCAGAGCAGCAGAGGTGAAGGCAATGTTCCTCCGATTTCTGCTGTAGTCATGACTCTTTTCCCTAGGGACAACAGCTGGGTCAAGCCTTATCTCACCAAACAGCTGGGGAATGCTCTTCTGCCCACTGCACAGCTGATCCAGGGCCCTGGAGACCACAAGGCAGGGGATGAAGCAGCAGCAAGTGTCTGCCTCCTAGGGAGCATTTGGCCAAATATCAAGCTCAGTAGCCAAGCTATATTTAGGACCTGGCCCTGTTGGCATGGTTACCATAGGCTAGAAAGGCACAATCAGGGCCCAGGGACCCTCTTGCCTTACTCCCCAGATGGAGTCCCAATGACTCCAATGCCTTCACATAAATTCCTAACCCACCCCTGGCCACTCTGAGGACCCACACTCACGTGTAGGACCAGCGTGCTCCGGGTGACTCGGTCAATAGGCTTGTAGAGTAGAGCTGTGAAGAAGACCAAAAACGGAAAACAGGACAATGAAGCACAAACTCATTGTGGAGATGGGCTTTTTACCTTTAACCGGTCTTGCTTCTCCAAATGAATGCTCACTTGGAAGCCAAGTGGGCTCTGCGGCAACTCATACCCCTGTTTTTACTTCATGGACAGGCCAAATAAAAGGGATAAGGGCACACACACAGCTCTGCCCACTCTGGCTCCCTCTCTACCTCCTCTCTTCACCCAGTCCTTTGCTGGTCAGGCTCTCACAGCTGAAGTGCCCTGGACCCCATTCGCAACCACACAGACACACCCAGGTAGACCCTGCAAGAGTTCAACAAGCTGTGGTGCCCTTGGATGGTAGGAGGCACCTGCCACTTTTCCAGAAAGGGTACCTCCCTCATGCCAATCATTCCCATGTTCTTCCAGTCTAAGGACCGGCACACCCCGCTGGGAACCACACACTGCACCCATTCTCACGTATCTGGCCTCAGCTCTATGAAAAAAGACTTTTCTTCGTGCCCTCAAGTCCACTGACAGGATCGGCTAAGGGCCCAAAAGGCAAGCCAGATCACTACCAAAACACTTCATCCTCAAGCTAGGGGCAGACTGGGGGGAGAGGAGGACAGACACTTCCTGAAGAAATCTGGGTAGAGTCTTGGTATAGAAGCCCCCAAGAAGCTGAAAAAATGCAAGGTCAGCCATGTCCCATGTGCCACACTACTCTGTGACCCAGACAGTGAGTGATCATCACTCCCATTAGTAGGGACAGTAGAGACTGCACTTCCCAACCTGGTAGTTCAGTGATGGCCCTACACCTGGATCTTCAAGTTCTGGGACCAGGAACTTTGGCTTCCTGTCATAGGTGCTCAGAGAGGCAAAATGTTGGTTGAAGAAAGAGAACCGTGAGTGACCATCCCATAGAACCTGGCCAGATCCTAGACATTTCACACTTGGACAGCCCCCAAGCCAGAGTGTTCCAAAGCCTTGTCGAGTGCTAAGAATGTGTTTCTGCGGTGTGCTAAGCGCCCCATCTGTAGCCCTTGCTTAGCTGCCCATTAGGATCACATGGGAGCTCTTAAAAGTAACAGATGCCCCCTCTACACTCCACAGATGAAGCCAAAATCTCCAAAGGATAAAAAAGACATTTTGCTGACATGGATATGTATTAGCAGCTGGAAAACGCTGTTTTGTACAAACACAGCACCTGTCACCTTTCTGTAGCCTTTTTTTTTAACCGACCATTTCTAGCAACCCTGATCGCCCATGGGAGATCCATGGGTTTGGGGTGTACCAGACAGTGAGAGAGAAGCTTGGGTGTGTGCATGGATCTCATTTATGAGGATGTCTAAGGCACTCCTCCCACCTGTGGCTCAAGCATCTGCACCATAGCGGGAAGAGTCATCCCAGAACCACTGAGACCTGACAACGGCAGACACAAGGTCAACAGACAAGGTGGGGTGGGCCCGGAGCAGTCCTATCCCCCAGGAAAGCTGACACTGCACCGTCATTCTCTGCAGCCATCTCTGGGTCCCAGAGGAAGAGGTTTCTGACTAAGCTCAGAGTCTGCAGAAATGGTGGATCAGGTTTCAGGGGGGCTATTAATATGCCTGAAGTCACCTAGAGAGTCCATCTGACAGGGCTATGGACTGAATTCTGTGGTCGTGCTGTTGGCCAAGGGGGATCAGGTGGGTGGGAGGGAACCAGGCAAGGAAGGGTGTCCCCAGTGCCTTTGCCCCCCCCCACTCCACTAGCCCCTGCCCCTTCCTTGTTCCTGGGCTCTGCAGGGCAGCCCATTTTCTACTCCTGCATCATGCTCTCCCCACTCTTCCTGGGATAGGTACTGTCCAACAAGTTGTCTTGCTTGTCTCTCTCCCTCCTCCAGGAAGCCTTCCCTGACCACACCTTTATAAACACCAAAAGTCAGATCACCAACATCAACAAGCTGGTCTCTTCCCAGGTTTCACGGAACTGCCTCGTGTGCATTGTTCCCTGTCATTAAAAGAGAGACACAATTTTCACTAGCTCATTCCCCTCCCTCCAACAGGCTCTCTCTTTGTAACAGTCCTGGCTGTCCTGGAACTTGCTTTGTAGACCAGGCTGGCCTCAAACTCACAGAGATCCACCTGCCTCTGCTCCTGAGTGCTGGGATTAAAGGTGTGCGCCACCAACGCCTGGCTCACTAGCCCATTTTTACAGTGTAGAAACTCAGGCACACGTTACTTGCCTATAATCACAAAGCCAGAGGTAATTGGGTTTTGAATTTTGGTTCACCCATGTGCTTACAATTGAACTGCCTTCTTCTTTAAGAGACAGTGGCCAGTGGAACTCAACATATAAGAGTTCTGGGAAAGACTTCATCTACCTCAGGGAGTGCTCGCTGTAGACAAAGCTCCCCACCCTACTTCCCACTTTGAAGCAGACTTCAAAGATTATGGCATCATGGGGACTAAAGAGACCCTGGACTCCAGGTCTTGGACCCGCTTCAGTAAGACCAAGCTTCCTTCTCAGGAGGGGAGAGGGAGCAGCGGGCTGACCCTTTACCTTGTTAGAAAAGTAGCACAGATACTTAAGCAGCCCTAAGCCAGGCCCAGCATTTCCTCCCTGACCCCTGACAGGGCTTCAAGTCCTGTTCTTCATTGAGCCCAGCCTGTTGGAATCAGCTGAAGGGCAGCTGCCACACAGGCTCCTGCCACCCTGAGCAGGGACACAGAGCAACCAAGGGAACATGAGCAGTGGTCCCAAACTGCTAGCTCTCTGACATACAGAGGCCCTTAGGAAAGAGCTGGAAACCTCATTTAGCATCTTCCCTCCAGCAAACTGCCACCCCCCTCCCCACACACTCAGTTCAGTCTGTAATGGGAGCCCCAGGTTACCACGGAGATAGGCACAAAAAGTGACTGAGAAGGGTGCAGACAAAAAGCCTGGTGGGAGGGAAGAGGAAGGTCCTTAACCAGCTACCTGCCTCCCTGACACACATGCCCACAGCAGCGAGCTGAAGGCAGCATGTGCCCCTCACACCCTGCCAGGGCAACTTAGGCCACCCACCAGGTCTGGACAACTTCCTGTCTGCACCTGCTTCGGTGTCCTAGCAGGAGCCTGGCTACCAGCATGTGCCTGTCCCAGGACATCTCCTCATTCCAACTGAAGGAGTGGCACAGAGAATAGGATGCTCCAGGTCCCTTCCACTGAAGTGGGTGTGTGACCTTCACAAAGCAGCAGCCGGCCACACCCCCCTCTCACGAGGACCTTCTGCACTGAGTGCTGGGACCTGGGCTCAGGGTCTTTAAGGACTAGAAAACTGCTCTGGAAAACGACCAGCTACTCCCTGTGCTCCCAGAGCTGTCCAGAGAGGAAGCAGCGTGTGCACTGAGCACACAATACACTGGCTGCTGAGCATCCTCTCTGTTCACGAAACAAAGAAACTCCCAACTTCTCTCTCCAGCCCAGGCTGGCGCCCTCTTGCCTTGAGGTGCAACTGTCCAGAATGTCCCTCTCTGCTGCTCCCAGCTGTCCCTAGCCCCACCTCAGGCCTTCAGGTACAGTCTGTCACCTTCCTTAGCCTCTTTAGGAAGTTGCTCAATGCCTCTCCTGCATGCACATGCTAAACCACCAGGTTCACACACAGCCTCAGGAGTACCTGGACCCTTCTAGCCGGTCCTTCCATTTCAAACATACTCTGCCCCTCTGCCGTGCAGCCTCTGGATCTCAACTCCAGACTGACCACAAAGCCAACGCAGGTGGGTTCCACCACATGACCACCCTCCCTTCCCTGAATCCCCTAAATCCTGCTGACCAGATCAAAGTCCACACTAGCCAGTCCCCAGATGGCTAAAGGCATGCCACTTCCCACGAAGGGGTGCCTGGGTTACCATAGGTGCAGTTACAGCAGAAGCGAATGATGAGGAGGATTTCCATGGCAGCCTTTATCCCTGCAGCAGGGACCTGCAGCCATTGCTCCAGGCTCCTGGCTCTCCAAAGCAGTCCAGCCACTCGGCCACCTTGCTGGCTGCTGCTGCACAACCTCCAGAATCAGGCAGCCGCTTCCTTCTGAGTGCTCATCCAACAAGGGGGAGGGCAGGAGCGTGGAGAGGCAGGAGGAGGAAGGGAGGGGAGGAGGGAGGAGGGACCAAATGCCTGCTGGCATCCTAAGGAGGAGCACGTTTGTAGCTGGCCTGCTGCCTAGGGAGGAGGCAGGCACACAGGCGTGCGCCTGTGCGCGCACACATACACACGCGCGCGCGCACACACACACACACACACACAGAGGCAGGGAGGCCACCACATTCACATAGCCCATAGTTCACTAAAACAAAGGAAGAGAACTGTAGTCCAGTACATTCCCCCAAAGTACCTTCCATGGTGACTGATGTATGGCTGTCCTTAGAGTCCTTGGGCCCTTTCACTTTGAGTTCCTGTGAGAGGGAGGAGAAAAATCAATGCCTGGTCTGTCCCCCCAGCTTCCCTCTCTTAGGCTAAGCTCGGAGGGAAGAGGGGCTCTGAAGACCAGGGCATTAAGTAGTAAGAGTCAGGAAGGCAGACTCTGGGAACCAGAGTTAGGACTCACTGCTAGAAAGTTCTGTGGCAAAAAGAACTTCTAAGACCTGCCCTCTGATGCCCTTGGCTATAGAGGAAGAGTGTGGCCAAGAGCAGGGACCTTCCCCACTGCTAACCACTCCTCAGGGATGTATACACATTAGCCCCGGGAAGACAGACTGGACTCAGTAAGCATCAGGTATGCCGGCTGACCTCTGGGCATGAACACCCCTGAGCCAAGACAGGGGGATCTGCACACCTGCACAATGAACAGAGAAGAGATGGGCTTGGAGTCCACAGGGCAGTCCAAGCTGTACCCTCTCCATACAAGGACTAACCCAGCCCCAGCCCTGTTGATACTCCCCACTACTTCTCCTGGAACCTATGACAAGTGACCCAGGAACGGGTGCTGGAAACAGACTTTGGGGACAGAGATCATTAGATCTAAACCTCTTCCATCTACTTTAGACAAAGAGCTACCCTAGCCTTTGCCAGCAGGACAGCGCAGCCTGCAACTGCAGCTGAAATGCAATCCTCACTAGGCAAGATGAGCCCTGAGTCTAGAAGAGGCACGTCCTCCTGGGAGGCAAGGGGCAAGGTGAAGCCAAGGTCATATTCCCGTGTGATACCGCCTGCTCTGCCTGGGGGGAGGCAAGGCCCACCCAGTAGGAGCTCATTTCCTGCATCATCTCCAGCTGTTTCTAGACAGAGAAAACCCCCAGGAAATGAGCCTGGCACGTGGTGGTGGTGGTGGTGGGGGGGTTAACTCAGCTTCTCTAGATGGAGTCTGTCTCTCACTGGTGCCTGGATTCCCTGCTTTAAGGGTTGTGGTACACACCCCCTCCAGTGCAGCCTAGAGGTATGAAATCACTGCTGCTGCAGAGGAGAAGGGCCTAATTGCAGTAATTAAGTGGCAGCACCAGCAGGAAGCATGAGCGTCATCTTCACTGAGTGACTCAAGAGGAGCAGCCACCTGGCAGAGGGCCATGGGCCTGGCCGTCCTCTGGAATAGGCTCTGGGGTGGGGGGGTCCTTAACGCATGGTTGCAGGAGAGTGGATGCAGGGGGTGCTTTCACATGGATGCACAGAGAACAAGCAGTCAGCCAGGCAAAGAGGGGACGTCACAGCCTCTGGACACTCTCTAGACCATGTTGACCTCTGGATATCCAGGGCCATAACAGCCACGATGAACACACACCAGGGAGTCCAGTTCATTCCCAGAAAAGGTGGGATGTTGAAAAGAAGCATCATTTCTCCTGCCTCATGACTTCACCAAGAGGGACTTCCCCACCCCTGTCCTGTCCTGCCAGGGGTTTGGGAGAAGAAACTGAGCACAGGCCTCCGCTCTGCAGCTTTCCCATTTTTCTAGAAACCGAACAGAACATGTGTTTCCGCAGGTGAAGCATCAGCTCCATGCGACTGTAACCCAAACCTCCAAGTTCACATTTGCTTTTTCTAATAATCAAACTGCCATTTTTCCCTCTTAAAATTTATTTATTTATTTAGGTTTTTCTCTTCCTTTCTCCATTCCTCTCCTTCCTCCCTTTCTTAAGATGGGTCTCACTATCTACAGTGCCTTTGCTGGCCTGGAAGTGGCTAGGGAGACCAGACTGGTCTTGAACTCACAGAGATCATCCACTCACCTCTGCCTCCTGAGTACTGGGATTAAAAGTGTGTCATCACACCTGGTTTCTCATTTTCATCTTCACCTGCCCAACTGCTGCATGGTCTCTAGACTGATTCCAACTTAGGTATAATGAGAACCCCAGCAGTTTCAGGGAAGTATGTGTCTCCTTTACTCTTCTAGCACCAAAGCTGGGGAAAGGGGTATTTCAAGGCAGGACTTCCAAAACTATAGAAGTACCCCACTCCCCAGGCCCCTCTAAAACAGAGGCTCTCTTACTCTGAGTTCCTCCAAGGCTAGTGGCTTAGGAGTGTCACAGGGATCTTTCTGGATAAAGAATGAGCTGAGCTGAAGGACCCTAAAGGACCAGCCTCTCACCGCCACTTCCTGAACAGAAATGCCAAAGCCAAGAGGGCCACAGAGGTGCACATCTGTAATCCTAGAACCCAGGAGGCAGAGGCAGGAGAATTGCTGCAAGTCTGAGGCCAGTCTGGGTTAAACAGTGAGTTTTAGGCCAGCCAAGACAACGTGGCAAGACCTTGCCTTAAAAACAATAACAACAACAAAAGTGCCAGTGGTAAGTGATTTCATATCTCTACCATACATGTGTGCAGGAGGGAAAGGCTTAGTTGCAGACGTGTTCTTGGCCAAAGGGGTCAAAGGGCTTCTCCTGTCCTTAACTGACCCTTGTTGATTCCATGAGGCTAGAGTCTTAGATTTGCAAGTTCCTTTCAAAACTACTTACTTGGTCCAGAGTTCCTCAAACTTCCCTTCCTGATGGTAAGTCAGCAACCTGTCAGAATGTAAACTCCTGCCTCTAAGCCAACCCCCCCCCACCCTGCCCCTCCCCAATCAGAAGATCCTGGCCATGAAGGCACACATCTGTAATCCCAGAACTCAAGAGGCTGAGGCAGGAAGATTGTGACCTGAGCCACACAGAGTGAGAGTGAGAGAGAGAAGAGAAAGAGATGCCAGAGAGAGAAAAGGATCGAGCTCTCCAAGAAAGGAGGAGCCTGGGTACCTGTACGTTAAACAGTGCCTCTGGTGATTTCTTGTTTAAAATTATGTGTACCCATGCATAACTTTGTGCAGGTATGTACACATGAGTGCAGGTGTCTGAGGAGGCCAGAGGCATCAGATCTGCAGCTGGAATTACAAGTAGTTACCCAACTTGGGTGCTAGGAACTGAACTCAGATCTTCTAAAGAACAGCAGAGCTTTTAATTGCAGGCCGGACCATCATCTTTCTAACCAAACCCCCATCAGGAAAGTTTTGAGACTAGCTGGGCAGGTCCAAACAGCTCATTCTACAGGAGAAAATAAAACAAAGGCAAAGAGAAGAAACAAAGGCCAAGAGTTGGAAAGACTCTTGGAAATGTCACGGGGAATACTGCACCCCTTATTTTTATTTTTTATTTTTGCCTCTTCTGTTCTACTTTCTAATCTGAAAAAAATAAATCAAACCAATCGATATTCTTGTATTAAGAGGAAAAATGTCAGTTGCAAGAAAGCAAATGTCAGACTGAGCATTATTGTGGTGAACAGCTTCCCTGGGGCAAGCAAGAGAGGAGTCCATAGACTTAGAGGTTTCTCAAATGGTTACCAGAGCCCAGGGTGGATGGGGTGGCTGTAGGAAGAGCTGCCCACCTCAGAGATCTTCTGGAACTGGTTGTTGGACTGGCTGCACTTCTCAGCTGTCTCCAGAGCGACTTTATAGTTATCCACAAATGCTTTGTACACGCCCAGCTGGCTGGCCTGCAGGGAGGAGACAGGGGATGTGGGAAGTGGAGGTGGAGAGTGGAATGCAGAGAGGATTAGTGAATAGATGAACACCAAACCTGAGCTCCTGAAGCCCCATTAACACTCAGAACCTCTAACCCAGCTCCAAAAGGCTTGCTGGAAACCAGGGTAAAGGCAGAGATGAACTACTACAGTATCCCTCTGAACTTGACAGTTTCCATGGAAACCGGCTCAGCCAATAGGTTAGCAAGGGGGTACTGGGAGTGAGGAGGGCAGAGCAGGCCTTTTGTTGGCATGCCAGAAATTCAAGGTATTGTTGAACACTTGGTTTTTGTGTTTTGTTTTGTTTTTTGTATTGTTGATTTTGTTGTTTTGTTTTTTTCCTTTAGTACCATCAAGGTCTCCCAGGGCTTGAAGCCTTTAACGCCTTCTTTCACAAACTGGAATGAAACAGAGCAGGGGAGACAAAGCAGCCAGTGGGCACATGTCACTTCCTTAGCTCCCTTCTTCATTCTGAGTCCCTTAGGTCCTGTCCCCACCTCCTCAGTCTCCAAGGAACCAGAACCCCTGCCTCATGATACACCTACACAACACCTGGACCCTAACACACTTGTCCTGTCTAAAGCTGCACTGCCATCATGAGACAAGGATGTGGGTCCATCACCCTTTCTTCAAAAAGGAAAACTGAGGCTTGCTAATTTAGTTGCTTAAATATTTATGGCAAGCCTTCTCTGGGCTGTGTACAAGTATTTCCTCTCAAGAGAACAAAGAGTAGGCATGCAAATTAAAGCTACAATTCCATGCCATGTCCATTTGAAGAGTCAAAATGTAGAGTCTAATAGCATTAAGCTTTGGTTCCAGCCCTCAATACAACTAATTTGTCAATGACTAATCAAACTGACCACAAGCACAACTGCAGCCTATGGCTTAGCAAATCTACAATCTACCATTAACACAAACCCAAACCACATCACTATGTTGTCTAATACAGTAGCTGTGAGTCACATATGAATACCGAGCATGTACAATGTGGCCAGTGCAAATTGACATATGTTACACGTAAAAACTTCACACTGGAGCCCAAGTGTGGTTACACACCTTTAAATGTAGCATTCAGGAGGCAGAGGCAGATAGATGGGTCTCAAGGCCAACATGGTCTACAAGCCACTTCCAGGATAGCCAAAAAAACACAGAGAGACCCCTGTCTCAACAAAACAATAACAAATCCATGTTGGATTTCAAAGACTTGGTATAGGAAAGAGAATATAAATTACACACACACACACACACCTTTTTTTTCAGACTTGCTATGTAGTTGAGAATGACCCTGAACTACTTATCCATTTGTCTCTAGTCCTGAGATCACAGGCATGCGCCACCATGCCTAGCACCCCCATTATTTTATTTTATTTTATTTTATATGTGTGGGTGTTTTACCTGTACCTATGCCTGTGCACCACACATGATAGGCAGTTATAAGCCACACACTATGTGGGTACTGGAAACCAATTCTGGGTCATCTGCAAAAGCAGGAAGCACTCCTAACTGCTCAGCCATTACTCTAACCATTTAAAAAAATTTCATTATCTGTATGTGTATGATGGGAGTGTGTTGAGTACACATGGCCATGTGCCATAGCATTCAGGCCAGAAGACAACTTTCAGGGACTGGAGAGATGGCTCTGCAGTTAAGAGCCCTGGCTGAGGTTCAATTCTTAGGGGCTCACACTGGCTGTGACTCCAGTCCCAGGTGATCCAAAGCCCTCTTCCAGCTTCAGTGGGCACCTACATGGTGCACACACATCCATCTAGGCAAACACTTGCATGCAAAAAATAGTCAGGAGTCAGTTACATCTTTCTTTTATTGTAGAATCCAGTACTGAACTCAGGCCATGGTGTTTTAGCCACTGAATCATCTCAACATCTCCGTCTCTCTCTCTCTCTCCCCTTTCTCTCTGGTATTATTGTAGTTCCCAGCTGATCTCAAACACCTGGGTTCAAGTGATTCTTTGGCATCTGTCCCCCTACTAGGACATTTTAATTTATTTATGTGGGACCAGCAAGACAGCTCAGTGGGCAAAATAGCTTACTGCACTGAGTTCAGTTCCTAAAGGTGAGAATCAACTCCTGAAAGTTGCCCTCTGACCTCTACACACACACCATGGCTGCCCCCACATCTATAGTCTCTCTCACGTGCAATAATAATTAATAAAATAACTGAAAATTATATGCAGCTCACAACCTATTTCCATTGGCCAATACTGCTCTTGAAAAGCCTGCAGATGATTGTGCCCTAGGAGACCTAAGCAAGGACACTCACAGCCTGCCTCCTCCTCCTTCTTCCTAATGGTAAGAGAAGTGAACAAATGCTCACAACACAGGAACTCAGACAGACACAGTTCAGATGAATGAACACTGACATGTATCAAAGCCAAGTGGTGACTGAATTGCAAAATGCTTACACACACACACTTGCACATTTTAACAGTGCATGCAGCATCACGAGAATATGAAGTATCAAAAATAGAAACTGCTGTCTACACAGCTCCACATCAAATTCCCAGCAAGCTGCTTCAAGAGGAAAAGGGAAAGGAGGAGGAGACATCCACCTTTATTTACTAATACCTTTTATTTTTATTTTGCTTACTGTTTATGAGACAGGGTCTCATGTAGCTCAGGCTAGTCTCAAATTCCCTATATAGCCAAAGATGACCTTGAACTCCTGACATTTCTGTTTACACCTCCCAAGTGCTAGAATTACAGATATGTACCACCAGGCCTACACCCGACTCCCTTTTTATTTTTTACCTACTCTTTTACTTTGAGGTAAGGTTTCACTAAGTAGCCCAGTCTAGTCTTGAACTTGTAATTCTCCTGTTTCAGCCTCCTGGTTAAAACTTAATTTTTATTAGAAAGTCTTACTAGGGGAGGGACTGGCAAGATGACTCATCAGGTAAAGGCACTTGTCACATAGCCTGATGACTGGAATTTGATCCCAGAATCCATGTAATGGTGGAGGGAGAGAACAGATTCTACAGACCCTTCCCCCAACTGCCCATATCCACTGTATACTCACACAGATGACAATAATAGCAACACTAATAATAATAATAACAAAATGTTTTATAAGAGGGAGGGAGGGGGAGGAGGAAAAAGGACAAAACAGAAAAAAAAGGAAAATGTCTCTGCTGATCCTAACATCTGTTACTCTGAGAGCTACAGGCACAGTTGGCTATTATATTATCCTCTAGATTTTCTGGTTTAAATTTTTTCCCAATGAAGTAGCAACAAGACACAGCTGCTGCATGCTTCCTCGGAGCTTCTGCTTCTAACCAAGGTGCTAGGAAAGCGTGCTGCTTCTGGTCCCCACTCAAGATCACTCTGTGTCCTTTCCTTCAGCACACAAAGACTGGGCAGGGGCCACCCAGGGAGGAGTTCCCTTCATGGGAACTAGTGAGGCTGCCCTTGGGACAGGGAGGCCAGAGGGAAGAGTATGAACAAGGAGAAGGCCCAAGGAAAGCTCCTGGCTGAGGGCTCAATCGCATTTTTCTCCAGGAGCTCCACACTGCAGGAGATGCCCTTAACAGATAGTTCCCAAGTCAGCAGTCTTCCAGGAAGGGTTCCTGTACCCTCTATTCTCATGATTTCTTTTTCTTGTCTTTGTTTGTTTGCCTCCTGTACCCCAGACCAGTCTCAAACTCACTATGTAGCCAAGGTGTCTTTCTACCTCCAGAGTACAAGGATTACAGGCGTGGTTTACCACACCCAGTTTTATTTAGAGAAAGGGACTGAACTCAGGGCCTTCTGCAAGCTAGGCAAACACTCAAGCAGCCGAGCTACACCCTGTTACCACGAGAAAGACAAAGCATGGGGATGTGTGTTGCTACCCTCTTGTGACCCAGCAGCCACCTGTGTGCAGGGGTACTGGGCCATGCCAGGTACTTTCATCTCCATAGTTATCCCAGGCTGGAAGGCAAGAGGCCCAGCCTGCCAGGGTCATTAACTGGGAAGTGCAGGTTGCTTGGAAACAGGAGTTTGGCACTGGAGTGATCTCATAAAACAAACAGCAGAGATGCTAATTCTCCTCTCTTGGTAATGGATAATCAAATACCCAGAGACTTCATCTGAAATAAACTATCTCCAGATGCCTAGCTTGCCCTGGCTCCACCCAGGCCTAGCCAAGCAGGCAGCCTCAGGGTGGCAGACATCAGATCATAATGCTGGGGGTTGGGGGCAGTGAGAAGCAAATTCATAACCAGACCAGTGGAGCTAAGACCAAGTAACCTGAGTCTCAATGATACAGACAAATTGGTGAAGCTATGCAGGGTAGCTCATACCTGCAATCCCAGCACTGGGAGGTTGAGGCAGGAGGAAGAGTTGCAAGTTCAAGGTCAGCCTGGGTTACAGAGATCATGCACCAAAAGCAACAGAAACATCAAACTGGAGGCCTCTGCCTCTCTGCTCTGGCTACCTGCCCTCCCACCAGAGCTCGTTTTCTACACTGTGAAGGCTGAGTAGCGGCTGCCCCATGCCAGTCATCTCAGACTTCTGTGAACAGGGGAAGATGACTAGGTATTTACCATCCCTGAACCAGAGGGAGCAGCTGGGTCCTCTACAACCAGAAGGATGGCATTATGGCAAACAACCCCTCCTGAGTACCTCTTCTTAAAACAGCAGTAATGACAACAGCAACAGCACCAGGCATTTCTGGTTATTAACCCACTCCTCCTAACAATCCAATTGACTATTAGTACCCCTCTTTATAGAGGAGGAAGCTGAGAATAGGAGGCAGGGCAAGCTGTCACAGAGCCATCTTTGGCAGAGCTGGGATTCAAACCCAGCTGTGACCTGGCTCTAGTTGTGCTTCTCTCCACAACACTTGGGGCCTTAAAACCATGGCTGTCGGGACACAGGTATCCCTCCTTAAACACTCAAGGTCTCCCCAGCCTCAATCAAGGTCATAATGCATCCATCTGTCCTTTAATTCACTCATCCATCATTGGGGAGGTTCAGGGAGTCCAATGAGAAGAAAATACAGACTGTTCCAGAGTTTATAGCTTCAGGGGGACAGACAGTTTTAAGTGTTCATGAGGAACAAAACACAGGGTCTAGAAAAGCTTCTGTGAGGTCATTCTAACTTGGGAACAGTCCAAGAAAAGCCAGGTTGAGATAGGGACGGTCATTTTATGTAGACAAAGCCACAAGTTTGTAGAGGTCAGGAAGTGCCTCGGTATAAAGGGGACTCAGACAGTGTCATGGAAGCCTTGGCAACCAGAGGGCTTCTGTGAATGTCTTCCAATACTAAGTCTTTGCTCCTCCCCTCTGAGCAGTATCATGTAAAACTGGCTGTTGTGTTTTCTGCTCTGGGGATTAATCATTAGTCAGGATCCTATCAGTCCAACTGCTTCATTCTACAAAGGGCAGCACTGGGATGCAAAGGCCTCCCAAGGTCTCAGGTGAGCCATCATTCTCCTGACGCCTGTCACATGCTTCTTTGTCCATAGAGTGACAGAGGACCTGCATCCTGGCAGAGGAAGCTCCATTGCAGTGTTCAAAGGACCTACCCCCCATACATACAAAAGCAGCATTCTCCCAAAACATTCACACAAATGACCTGTCTCCACTCCTATCCCTAGAAGCACTTTCAGGGATCCACTTAGGATGGGGTTTGGACTGGGGTTGAGGATCCAAGCCCAGTTGCCTGGAAGAACACAGGCCTAGACTGTCCTCCAAGGGCTCAGAGATGACTCAGGCCTCAAGAAGACTAACCAGTCCTCCCTCTCCCAAGGTCCTATTCTAACACCAGTCTGCCATGGAACCATGCCCTCTTGGGATACTCACCAGCTTCTGGAAAAGGTGGCCCATGGTGACTTGGCTGTCCCATTGCTGCACCTTGGGACAGAGGTTGTCGTAGAACTCCTTGTGGATCTCATAAATATCCTGGATCTTGTAGAAGATGGTCTCTATCTGCTGGATGGTGAGCACAGGCTGGGAGGTGGTGGCTGTGGCCTTCAGGGGTTTCATGGGCTGAAGAGGAAGAGGAACAAAATGCAAAGGTGGGTATGAATGAACAAGAGTGTTGGCAGGTCCCAGGCAGATTGTGACACTGATTAACATGCAGTGACGCCCAAGTCCTGCCTAGACAAGGCAGCTGAAGGCAGAGCACCTGAAACTCAGTTTCTGCCTCAGATCTGTTGTCACAGGTCCCAACAAGTCATGTGCAAAGAGAGGGAACCTGACAGCAGCAATCTGCCACAGCAGCCAAAGCACATCCCTTCCCCCATCTGAGCTCACAGCCTCTAGCCCCTGGCTCACATGTGTTCACTGGTCCATTTAACAGGTCCCTAGTCTCATCCACAGTGGCCTCATGCCCCAGTCAGAAGCCTCTTTTTCATGCTTCAGTAGAAGGGGGTGCTGCCTGGGAGTCTAGCTCCTGAGAAGCTTTTGAGAAATAGAAGGTGGTTCTAGTACTCCGGGTAAAACCATGAAGAGACTCAAGACCAGCTCAAGCCAGGTCTGTAATGGTAGCACTCCAGAGGCTGAGGCAGGAAGACTGCAGACCAGCCTGGGCAACAGAGTGAGAGTCTGTTTCAAAACAATACAAAACAACTGGCTCAGATTCACTGATATCTCAGTTCTCGTCACTTGGTAAGGGAGAGGGGCAAGGACACACATGCCACCCTCCTACTTCCCACATCCGTGGCAGACATGCAGACATTGCTAAGCAAGCAGGATCTTTCCCACTGAATGTGGTTTCGGTCTCAAGACTCTTTCTCAATGCCTGTTGACATGAAAATGAAAGCAACCATTATCTTGATTATCTATACCAAGATCATCAGGGCCCACAAGGGGAAGGGGCAGTGATGATGGTAGCTCGGTACCATCCCTAAGCGCTGCCTGGGACAATGGGGGCTTTGGGTGCATTCTCTTCAGGAAGAGCCTTTGTTATTTTCTAAGTCATCCATATTGAGGCTGAGGACCATGGTGCATGCCTGTGGTCCCAGCTGCTCAGGAGGCTGAGGTAGAATTGTACAACTATAGGAGTTAGATAACAGTCTGGAAAAACAAAGGGAAACCTCCATCTAAAATTTTAAAGAAATGAATAAACAGTAGGTCAGCCGGAGATAGGGTATAGAAATATGGGCAGGGAGGACACACATAACCAAAAGAGAGCAGCCTACATTAGATACGGCTGATAGTCTATCTGAAGGCAGTATGGAAAGGGTTCTCCAATAGCCTGCGTTTCCCTGCAGACCTAAGAACAGCATGGAGATGAGAGGGGTCTGGCCTGGACATACTAGAGCTGTTGACTCTCACAAGATGAGGTCATGAACTGAGAGTGGATGAATCAATTTCTGGAAGTGCTGGCCTGATGGGATCCCCTACATGGAGGGAAAGCAGATCTATCACTGTGCTATGACAGCCAGCCTGAATTAGTCACAGGAGCCAGCCTCCCAGCCCAACTGTACTCCATCTTCCTTCTGATGGTGGCTAATCTGTCCATAAGAGGAAGTCTCAAATACCCAGACAATATCTGATTGTGGAATATTCCTTTACACTGTGTGAATATATGCCACTGTGATTGGCTTAATAAGGAAGCTAACTGGCCAATAGCTGAACAGAATAAGTTTAGGCAGGAAAGCCAAACTGAGAATGCTGGGAGAAAGAAGGGTGGAGAAAGGAGAGTCGCCAGTGGTCACAGGAGAAGCAAGATGGGCATGCTGTATTGAGAAAAGGTACCAAGCCATCTAGCAAAGCATAGATAAGAAATACGGGTTATTTTAAAATGTAAGAGTTGGCTAGTAACAAGCCTGAGCTATTGGCTGGCATTTGTAATTAATATTAAGTCTCTGTTTCGGTTATTTGGGAATTGAAAACGTCCTCCAGCATCTGACTTCTGACTTTCTTTTTTCTCCACATTCTACAAGGTCCAGATACAATAACAAAGCTGGGGCCAAGAAGACTCCACTGACCCTCTTGACACTAGAACCAGTAACATTCAGTACCAAGTCCTTGCTAGAAAATAGAATGGGAGTCAACCTGGGTTAGGCCAAGCAGTGTTGGCTGGAGCCCAGAGCCTGCCATTTAATAGTTGTGGGCAAGTCATTCCCCATTTCTGGCTGTGCCATCACTTCACTAGCAGGCTCCCGTGGAACTGAAATGGTACTATGTTCTCAAGAGAGCCAATAGGAAGATGAAGTCTCAGAAGGCACACATTACATATCTAGGGCCTGGAGAGAAATCTTAGTGGTTAAGATTGTTTCCTGCTCTTGCAGAGGACCTGGGTTCAGTCCTCAGCATCCAAATGATAGCTCACAACTACTTGTGCACATGTGGTGCACATAAACTCTTTCAGATATGCATGCATACACATAAAAATAACAAAATATTTTAAAACACAATAAAGTACCTAGTACATGTTTGGCATATAGAAGACAAATAATATTGTTATTCATCCTGTGAAAAATGAACCAAGTGCCAGACATAGGGCCAATCCCCAACACCCAGTGGTATGCCTGGAACACATACAATCCCAGTCCTCATTGGGTTTCCAGTCTAGTAGAGACAAATGAAACACAAATAAATGACCCAGCGTCTAATTATACACACCAGTAAGTGCAATGAAGAAAATAAGGAGAGGACCCCCTGAGGCAGGATGGTCAGATGGCTTCTCCAAAGAGATGTTTACTCTGAGATAACAACAGGGAGGCTTAAGGGGACTGTACTCGTCACGATTTCCTTGGTGGCTGATTTGGAGATAGAAACAGGCGTGGTGAGAGACAGGGGCTGAAAGCCATCAAGCCTATGTACAGTGGGCAAGGAGAAGAGAGGGGATGAGCCAGGGCTGGATGGATGACAGGGGGTAGGGAGGGCATTCAGGAAGAGGGGAGTACAGCTTTGACCACACAACTGACCGTGCAACAACCCACTCTGCAGAGGGATTTAAGCAGAGGGAGAGATGGAAGTCTAGTATGTGGGAGATCATTTTGATGATCCCTCATCTCCTTTCTTAAGAACATTAGGCTCTATTTGAAAATTGGACTGAAACAAATCAAACAACTTGGTAGCCAGTGTGAGGCAGGACAATCCCAACTTGCATTATAAATCCCAACCAAGTGGTTCCAAGACTGTACTGGAGCAGCTAAGTTAAGGCTTCATGGAGGAGGTACAAGTAATGAGGCCTCTGAAGCTGGGGAGAGCTGATCAGGTGGAGAGCTGCATGAACACACAGACAAAGGAGCAGGAGGAACCAGGAGAAAGGCACGGTGTTCTCCCATGCCCAGGTGGAAGGATACAGGGGACTCCCCTTCAGATATGACATAACAGGCAATCCTTGTCATCTCTATCTAAGACCCAATGGACAGGTACAAATTGCCACAGAGCCCCAAAGCCTCTTATCCTCGTACCTTGACACAACCCCTACTGTGGAGGGAGCAAAGGAAACAGGAGAACAGTCCTAGGAAGGCTAAGATTTCTCAGAAGCTGGTTGCTGGGGAAGCACGCACGGGTCTACCTCCTACGCCAAGACAGGCCCAACAGCTCTGCTTCCTCCTAAACTTCCCACTGTCTACAAAAGGGGAAGAAAAGTACTCTAGCCAGGACCAGTCACATGGACAGGCTGCACTGGAGGCATGAGACTTTCTCACAGATGAAGGACTTTTGCTCTTACCCCCATTCTCCACGGGGAAGGGGGAAGGGCTGGCTGGTCCTCAATTATTTTTTTATCTGAAGACTCACATATAGGCCTCTGGGCCAGAAGAGGCTCAAAGGCCCTCTTACTGAGCTTTGACCCAACATTGCCACTGGGGCCAGGGAGCTAGCACCCCAGCTACCTCCGTTCTCCTCCCTGGTCCAGCTGTACAGAAAGGCTGAGAGAGAGACTGTGAGAAGAATTCTTAGCGAGAAGCCCTGGGTGACTTCAACTCCAACCCTGGGAACTTCTCCCGAAGACAGGGCTGGGCTAGTTCTGACTTCACAAGGTCATGTCTGCTTGTCCTCCAGCAAGTGGCCTTTCGAAACAGGAGAAGAAATCTGACCACTTCCTCCACCCCCTACAGGAGAAGGCTTGGCCACTGCCAGGCACAGTTACTAATGTAGCCTTGGTTGCTTCTTGGAGCTCAGGGAGGAGGTATGGTTAACCTATCACACAGATAAGCAAGTGGTGATGCCCTAGAACTATGAAACAGCCAAAATGGAGGGCTAAGAGGAGGTGATGGGGCTAGCTGTGGCAAATTATGGCCCTAAGGTGGGATGGACTGTAGGCAACAGTCCACACCAGTACAGAACACATGTAGAACTACAACTCATTTAGTATTCTTCTTTTACAGCCCCCACCCCCAAATCTGGGCCCCTAGACCTCAGGAGTAACAGACAGGCATCAGCAACAGTGACTTCAAGATTAGTGATCTGCTGGGAACAGAGCCCCTGTGTGGCTTTCCTCTCTCTGTGTTGTTCCTGTCTGCCTGTGTGTACCTATAGTCTTAGGTACTCAGGCCTGGTCCTTTGCATACCAGGAAGTACTGAGAGGAAAACAGATACTTTGCACTTCCAAGTCATTTTCCATTTTGAAGTCACTCCCTAGGGATAAGGGGATCTGTGGCTAAGAGGAGGGGGAGAGAAAGCCCAAGAAACAGTTTTGCCTCTAAGCTAGAACACCCAGGAGGAGCAGGAGTGAGGTCAGCAGTGGCTAAAAGGGGAGGCCTCCCAATCTGTGAAGGAAGGAGGTTCTTATCTTTCAGGTTTGTTCTGGGAGCCAGAGGCTGGGGAGAGCCCAACCCACCCACTCCCTGGCCTCCCAGCAATAAATCTTCCCACCTGTCTCTTCCTCTCCTGAGAGGCCAGAGTGAGCAGGGAGGGAGTGGTGGGGTGTGCAACCACACAGTAGTGCCTTCGGGTAGGAGCTGTTAAGAAGGTGTGGCAGGGAGACTTCGTCCTGGCTCCTGAATCTATCTTTGCCCAGATGAGAACATCTGATGAAGGAGGTTGGAATGTAAGAGATGCATGCGTCTCAGGGGTACCTCTCTTCCTCCATTGGGGTGTGTATGTGGGGGAGGGGAGCCCAAAGCCTCCTGCAGCCTCTGGAATGCTAGGATTACAGGCACATACCAAACTCACTGTTATCTAGAACACAGGAGGCAGAAGCGGGAAGGTAGTTCCAAGTTTGGGGTCAGTCAAACTACATAGCAAGACCCTGTCTCAAAAGGTGTGGTGGCGCACACCTTTAGTCCCAGCACTTGGGAGGCAGAGGAGGAGGATCTCTGTGAGTTCGAAGCCAGCGTGGTCTACAAAGCAAGTACCAAGACAAACTCCAAAGCTACACAGAGAAAGTGTCTCTAAAAACCAAAACCAAAACAAAATGAAACACCCCCACAAAACCAAAAAGAACACAGGAGGCTTTACCTGTTTTTGCTCAGCTCTGTAGGAAATAGTCGCTATGCCAACAAAGGCACTTTTCTAAGAACTGAATACAATTCATGAGCTTCAACAACAGTCCCATGAAGAGAATACTTATTACTTGTGAACCCAGATTGCAGATGGAAACAATGAAGCACACAGTCTTCTCACTGTGTGCAGGTAAAGTGTGCAGTGGGGGCTCACAGCCAGGCAGTCTGGTCCTTTTCAGATCTGCATTCTGCTAGTAATACAGTTTTGGGTACAGCCACCCCAGGTCTGTCTGATCTTCTCAACCCAAAGAAGAAGAGAGGTGTCAACTGTTTTGCTACCATTAGTTAGCTGTGGTCATCCACACTCTGAAAACACCAGTGTGTGTTTGGACTTTTCAAGGGAGAGGCCACGCTACATGTCTTTTATTATGGTATACAGCTACCATCGTTCAACTTTATTAATTATTGTTAATAACTTATTGTACCCAGTTTGTCTATAGGTTTGTAGTCATAGGAAAAACACACATGATGTACACTGACATTCTTTTTTCAATCTGTTTTAAAACGCTGACTCAAACCTCTACACTTTCACAGCACAGCACAGGGGTCGAGATCACAGAGTTTGGAAACAATGCTCTATCCCTGCTATTAACAGCAGGGTAAGGCTGTGTCCTAATTCTGGCTCTCAATTCAAACCAGGATCCTTTCTATCTGCCACCGTCTCCGGTTTGGAAATCATCACTGGGCTTATTAAACTCCTGAGGAGATCCTAAAGCAAGCTCAGCGCAGTATCCCGCAAAGTAGCTTTACATTTGAATAGCCATTCCTTGGGTAATAAATGTCAAGACACTGAACAACACCTCATATCACAGCAAGTATATAAACGTCATCTTACTTATGAGGACCACCCTCTACTGATCTACATTTACTTCTGATTCTCTGGGGCTTGCTTTGTTTTTTTAGGTGTGTCTCCTCCCCATACCCCCTCCCCCCCAAGACAGGGTTTCTCTGTGAGCCCTGGCTGTCCTGGAACTCGCTCTATAGACCAGGCTGGCCACGAACTCACAGAGATCCACCTGCCTCTGCCTCCCGAGTGCTGGGACTAAAGGCGTGCGCCACCACCACCACCATCATTTTAGTTTTTTTGAGACGAGGTTTGGGGCTGGCTTGAAACTCACTATGTAGCCCACACTGGCTTCAAAACCCATGATGATCCTCCTGCCTCAGAATTTCTTTTTAAATAGTGTTTTATGCCATCTCACTGCACAACACCCAAAGAAAAGAATTTACACTACTCAATCACTCTGCATAATACCCAGACGCATCTAATAAGCACCTTCCTCAAAGGCAAACGTGTCTGTGTGGCACTTTTATCTCTGGAGAATGTTTTAATAGTCACCACCCTATCTAATTCACACAACACCACCTTCATCTTTACCGAGAGCTCAGGCTGGTCTAACGCTTCTGAGCTACAGCGCTTTTAAAAACAGACATCTTCTGTCTCACATTTCCTGACAGAAAGCCTTCAGGACAGTGCTAATGGCTTCCTTCCCTGGGGAAGAGGCAGGACTTGGACCCAGGATGGCAAAGAGGTCTCAGGTTGATTGACTGGTATTGGGGAGGTAACAAGGTGCCCACCGGCACATGGTACTCTATCAATTCATACTGCAATGTCACAGTCATCACCATCGATGACAGTGCTTGCCCTCCCACAACTGTGCGTCTTCTCCTGCTTTTCAGAGTAGGGTCATGAAGAGGTGGCATGACTGACCCAGTTCTCAGAGGCCCAGCTGTGAACAGTGGAGGCCTGGTGTCCATTCTGTATGGGTCCCCTTCATCTCGAATGCCAATAGCAGTTATAGAGCACATCATTGGCTAAGAGGGAGCCAGCCCCTCCTCCTTCAGGTACTCACCAGCAACAGGGCTTCCAGCTGATTAATGTAGATTTCTTCACTGGCCAGAAAGCCTGAGAGAACAAGCTTCCTCATCTCCAGGCCCTTCCCTGCCTCCACCTGCAAGGAAGTAAGCCAAAAGCCAACAGCTTGTGAGAACAAGGCCATAGATCAAGACACCTGGGTCTCTGCAGTTTTGTTTTTGTTTTTTTTTCCTCTTTTAACCACAGGTGATGAAAGCCATACGATTAACATTATTATTACTGTTTGTTTTCACACAGAATCCCATTCTGTAGCCCAAGCTGGTCTGGAACCCACAACAATACTACTACTGCCTTAACATCTCAAGTGCTGAGGTTGTCGTCATGAATCTCCATGCTCTGCCAGATATTATATAATAGAAATTTTGGAAAACACTAAACTGTCAATGGCAAAGCAGCCATATTTCTGTTACCATCTTGTTTTTTTTTTTTTAAGATTTTATTTATTTATTATGTATACAACATTCTGCTTCCATGTATATCTGCACACCAGAAGAGGGCACCAGATCTCATAACGCATGGTTGTGAGCCACCATGTGGTTGCTGGGAACTGAACTCAGGACCTCTGGAAGAGCAGCCGGTGCTCTTAACCTCTGAGACCATCTTGTATTGTTTCTCTCCCATCCTTTCTCAGTACTTCTGCTTTCAACCGTGTGAACTTTCTAGTGGTGACTAGGGTCATGGAGGACCTGTTTTAGGTCTGGTCTGAAGAGGGGATACAGACATTCTTTCATGACTGAGGTTGAGCCTGGAAACATAGGACAGAACAGCAAAGGACCAGACCCCCTCCTCCATCAGAGGAGGTGATATATAAACTGAGACAGGGTTAGAGTGAAGGGGACGGAAATGGGTATGGGAGCCCTGGCCTTGTGGCCACTTGTGCTGAGGTCTTCCTGTCCTAAGGACTCAGCACCTTAACAGGTGTCAGCTGTGGGCTGCCCATGCTTACCTCGGCCATTCCTCATGGTGTAAGACACAGACCCATGCTAGATTTCCCTCCCTCTTGAATTCCTGTTCCCTTGTGGTGGCGATCATGCCTTGTTCAGTCTGGATGCACCATCCATCACAGTGGTTGGTACAGAGAAAGCATTACAAATTTACCTCCAGCAAAAAGCATGTAATTTTCACCATGCAGGACCCTCAAGCTTTATTCATGGCTGCTCTCCAGTCTTCCTCCCTCCCCTCTGCCATGTTTGGAAGCTTCCTTGGCTAACTCCAGGATTGATTCCTCCCACCTACACTCTCCTAACTGACCTCTGAATTCTCCCTTTCTCCAGCCCACTGCAGTAAAATCAATCTCCCAAGACACCTTCTTTTCAAAGACTTAATATAAATACTGTAAAATGCAACTAGGAAAGATAGGTTCATTATCTGTTCAGTCAACAAATAGTTATTGAATGCACTGCATCCCTCATGACTACAACAGGAAGCAAGTCTAGCCCTATCCCTGCTATCACCTGGTTTATAATCTAGTAGGAGAGAGACACTGACATCAACAAAGATAAACAAATAAAGAGGACATAAACCGTGACTTGGGCTGCAGCATATCTTACTTAAATGCCTGCAGTGGCCTCAGGGTCTAAAGGCCTCTCGACTTTCCAGTCTCTTCCAGGGCCAAAGCCTGGCAATTTCTGCCTTCCCAATAAGCAAGTCATACTCAGGCCCTGAAGCTGGGTTCTCCAGTTGACAGTGCCTGATGCGCTCTTCCCTTGGCTAAGTGACACCTCTTCTTAACAGCACAGCTGAATGAAGTCTCACTTCCTTTCCATCTTCAGCAACTAAAACCTGCAGAGCCTTGAGGTTACCTACCTGGCTAGTGGGTGTTGGGGAATATTATTTTAAGGTGTGTTACTTTTGTTTATGTTGCATTTGTTTAACTCTGTGAAGCTGTGTTATTTTGCCTGTCTAAAACACCTGATGGTCTAATAAAGATCCTAATGGCCAATAGCAAGGCAGGAGAAACAGGCAGGGCTGGCAGAGAAGATAAATATGAGGAGAAATCTGGGAAGGAAGAGAAGAAGGAACAAGAGGCGGAGGAGGAGGACTCCAGGGGCCAGCCAACCAGCAAGTCACAGAGTAAGAAACAAAGTTATACAGGAAGAAAGAAAGAAATGCCCATAGGCAAAAGGTAGACAGGAGCTGGGCTGTGGTGACACAAACCTTTAGTTCCAGCACTCAGGAGGCAGAGGCAGGCGGATCTCTATGAGTTCAAGGCCAGCCTGGTCTATGGAGTGAGTTCCAAGACAGGCTCCAAAGCTACACAGAGAAACTTGAAAAACCAAAACCAAAAACAAAGAAGAAAGAAAGGAAAGAAAGGAAAGAAAGAAAGAAAGAAAGAAGGAAAGGAAGGAAAGGAAGGAAGGAAGGAAGGAAGGAAGGAAGGAAGGAAGGAAGGAAGGAAAAGCTGGCAAGAAATAAGCCAAGCAGCTGGGCGTTGGTGGCGCACGCCTTTAATCCCAGCACTCGGGAGGCAGAGGCAGGTGGATCTCTGTGAGTTCAAGCCCAGCCTGGTCTCCAGAGCAAGTGCCAGGATAGGCTCCAAAGCTACACAGAGAAACCCTGTCTTGAAAAACAAAAAACAAACAAACAAACAAAAAAAAATAAGCCAAGCTAAGGCCAGGTATTCTTAAGTAAGAATAAGCCTCCATGGTGGCGGGCCCCCAGGCCCCTACAAGAGTCAAGAGTAAAACATCACACTACAAATGGATGATCTCCCTCAGGCCTTTGCAACAACTGCATTGCACTATTCTTCCCAAGACAAGTCTCAATCCTGAGTCACACCTGACCCTTTGAAAGGCTTTTAACTCCTCTCCATACTTGCCTTTGGTCCTTCAGGCACCCACACGGAAGTGGGTTCTATATTCCCCATCATACAATAGAAACACAAGAGACTGTAAAGAGGCAGAGCTGGGACCCACCCCAGGTTCTCCTTTCACCCTTGGGATGATCTCTTCCCTCTCCTCCATCCTTTCCAAGCTTATACTTTTATACAGCTCTCTTCTGGGCATCAAACATGAACCTTAATGTGAGCCAGACAAGTGTATCAAGCCACCAGAAGTCCCTCAAGTCACAGAGAAAACCCACCCCAGTGTCCCTGGAGGCTTTCCAAAGGAGTATTCCTCACACTTTGAGTGGTTCAAATGTCTGAAGGCTACAGGCCCCCAACTCTCTGAGATGTCTTGCCAGAGAGAGAATGACTCCTGAGAGATGTCCACTTGTGGCTCCCTCAAACCTCGGACTGTAACTTTAATGACTAAGGGACTTGGTGGGTGGAATTAAAGATAAGATTCCTGGATTACCTAAGTGGGCCCTTAGTAGTCACAGGGTCCTTATAAGAGGGAAGTAAAAGAGCAGGCAATGTGACAATGAGGTGTGTGGGGGGGGGTAAATTGCTGGCTTTTAGGCTAGAGAATGGGACTTGTAGCCTGGGAATGTAGGGGAAAGGTGAAATGGATTTATTCCCCAAGAGCTTCCAGAAGCTATGCAAGACACTAAATCAGGGCTGCTTTCTAGCCATGAGATTTGTTTCTGGCAGCAGTAGGAACCCAGTACAAACCCCACATTAAGGAAGGTCAGAGTTATTTATTGATGGCTTCACAACTACCAGGACCTGTGCTAAGTGCTCTTCATAGGCATCTCACAATCTGGAAGGTGTAACAATTGGGGCCCTGAGGCACAGAGGGTGCAAATGGCCAGCTGCTTACAGACAGCCCAGCCTCCAACACACCCTGGAGTATGAGTCTGCAGCAGGGCTTCAGCCCTTGAGTCAGAGCCACAGTGACCTTCCAGCTGCTTCCCAACTGACTTGCTCTCACTCTGCAGACCGAGGCTCCCCTACTGCACCTCATTCCTCGATTGTTCCCAGACATCAAGGATTTACCTGAGCATTTGGCAAACACCTTGTAGAGATCTGCAGGCCTTTCTCTGAAGAAGCCTTCTAACTCGGTGGAGCAAGACCCCTACCTGCCTAGTAACATTCCATTTTTTTTTAAAAGATTTATTTATTTATTTATTATGTACACAGTATGTCTGCAGGCCAGAAGAGGGCACCAGATTTCACTACAGATGGTTGTAAGCCACCATGTGGTTGCTGGGAACTGAACTCAGGACCTTTGGAAGAGCAGGCAATGTTCTTAACCACTGAGCCATCTCTCCAGCCCGTAACATTTCATTTTTAACAAGACCCTCGCCTCATAATCCTATCCCTAAGATTGGTTTTGAGAGTCACACACCCTAAAGTCCTCGTTCTGGGCTACACTCCTAAAATTCAAGCTAGGATGGGGTGTAGGCGCCTGTGAGTTTGCTGATGTGAAATTAAGCTCTGTAAATTTTACTGACAGTAAGCCTGTTGCTTGGTTAGCACTGAAGAGACTTCCATCTTTGGGTAAGGGGTGGCTTTCTCCAGATCATATATGTTTCTGCTTGGGACAATCTGGAAATAGCTGTACCTGGTTCTTGGGTTACCGCCCAGCTTCTGTCTTCTTGCTATGTACTCAGTAACTTTAAATAAATAAATAACTGTAAGTTCACACCTGTTTCTTCAGTCCTTGTGGGGGATTTGCTTGTCTCATAAAACACCAGGGCTAAGCATTCATTTGTTCCTTCTCTACTGCATGCTGGACATTGGTAACAAATATGGAGATGCTTGTTCTCAGCATGTTTTCCAGAGATGCCCATGTGCACTAAACCTTCTGGGCAAATGCTCTACCACACTACTAGCCTTTCCCCAACACAGGATAACTGTCACCTCTTTCTCTCCAATCAGGGCTTACATATTGCAGCCCTAGTGACCTCCCAGCAATTTATACAGTGTGCTGAGGCTGAAAGTTTGTCATCTCAAGGCTGCCAAATCAACACACCAGGTCACTATGGTAGTAGCTATTGATAAGCTGTGGCCCGCTCTGGCCTGGGCTTCCGCAGTGTTCAGGGGCTAAATATAAAAAGCCTCCTAAGGTTTGGTTCTAGGCCAAGTCAAGAAACAATCTTTCCACAGCCCTTTATCTTTTCCAAGGCAACAGTGAGGGCTGAGCAGGCGGGGCCGGCTCTTGCTGTGCTTTAAAGCCACAAGCTAAGCAGCAA